GTTTATGAAATATAATAAATTGAAGTAATTAATAATTTAATTTTTAATTATCTATTTATTTTTTAAATTAGAAAGTATATATTAAAGGTTATAATCCTTAAGATGTTCTTTATGTTGTTGTAAATCCTTCAATTAGAACTTTACATGTTATATAAAATTAATGGGTCAGAGTATGGTGAATATAAGAAATTAATATTTATTTACTTTATAAAATATTTATTTTTATATTATTTGAAATGTTAAGAATATATAAACTTATTATTTACTTTTTTATATAAAAAATTTACAATTTATTTAATATTTTTTTTTTTATAAATTAGATTATTTTATTGCCAATTAAAATAAATTTTATTTTATTTTATTTTTAAAACAAAAAATTAATAAATTATTATTTAAAAAATTTTTGCTTGAAAATGTATATTTATCAACTTGAAAATAATAAATTTTATTAAAATCTTTAATTAATTAAATAAATTTTATTACATATAATAATATTTATATTACAATATATCTTTGTATATTAATTTATTAAAAATAAACAAGTAATAGTATTAATTTAAAACAAAATCTAAATATATGATAGTTTATTCGGCTTCTAAAAATTAACAAATAAATTTTATTAATTTACTAATCTAAATTAAAGATTTTTAACATTAATAAACAAATTTTTATATATAAAATATATAATTATATTATCCTATATATTATTTTTAATAAAAATAATTTTATTATAAAAATTAATTTAAAATTTTTCAATAAGATAAAAGTATACAATAAAACTAGATAATATTTAAACATAAAAAGATATTAAAAAATATAAATTAATCCAAAAAAATAAATAAATTAGCAACCCGAAAATAATAGCCCAAATTTCATTTCAAAGTTAATTCATTATTTTTATTTAAACTTTTTCTATATTTTACAAAATAACCCAATATTAAATATTTTCTGACATAATTATCAATAAATCTTAAATAAATTACATTTTAATATTTCTTATAGGCATATATCTAAAAAATAAGCACTATATCCTATTAAATAAAAGTTCAAGCAATTCATATATAAATAATCTAACATCTAAATCAGCAAATATAATACATTTATATCCGTTCTCACGAATAAAAATTATCCTTTTTTAATAAAAATATTATTTATAGGGCAGTTAAACCTCTAAATATAGTATTTTTAAATAATAGATATTTTATAATGCAGTCTAAAAAATATTAATAATTTATTTCTAAATATCTTTTGATTGTTTATCTATTTATATTCTTAATATTAAATAAAAAAAATATCCATCCTATATTATAAAGTCTTATTCCCCAATATAAAATTTAGCAAGTAAAATATATAAATCAAAGTTTTAACTCAAATTATTCTTAATTAAATAATAAATAGGAACTTCATTTTATTTTATCTCATATTAAATATTTAATCAAATAATTTATATATTATTTATATAAAACCAAGTTCAAAATATAATTGATGAACAAAAATATATATAATTTAAAAGAAATTATTTATATAATTTATTTAATTAAAAATAAAGTTAAAATTATTATTAAGTTTTATTGTAAAATCTAATAACATCACTACCGCTCTATTATTTTCTTAAAAAAAAAATTAAATACCTCCATTTTAATTTAAATTATTAATTTTCAATATTTATTAAAAGTAATACTTTTGCTATTAATAGTTATCTTTTTTAAAATATTCAAAGTTTAAAAATCATTATATAATTTGCTTTTTTTCAAAATTAAATATATAAAAATTTAAAAATAAATGTATTTATTTTAAAAATAATTGATACAATTTTTTTTTTTAAATGAAGTAAAAAATAACTAATAGAAAATTATTTATTAATAAAAATAAATATAATAATTCAATAGTTGTATAAAGTAAAAAACACATTTTATAATAATAATATATATAAAAAAAAACATTTAAAAAAAATTAATAAATATAATAGAATAACACTAAATATAGGATATTATTAAATATATTATATTTAGAGACAAAAAATATATAAAGAAATTTTAGTAAAAATAAATAAAAAATATAATATTATTGAAAAGTAAATTATATATGTGAAAATATATCAACAAATAAAATGTTTTAAATTAAATTAGAAATACTATATACAAATTATTGTTAATCTAAACTTAGTTAAAAAATTTTAAATTATATAGAATGATAATAAAATAAAATTAAATATTTAATAAATAGATTATTATAAATATTTTTAAATTAATTTATATAAATTCAAAAAAAATAATTACCCTTAATTAAAATATTATAAAATTAATTCTTTTAATTTTATAAATATATAAATCTATATAAAGTATTTATAATAAAAATTAATTAAAATATATTTTAAAAAATATAATTTTAAAATAAATAAATATAAATATAATATATTATTAAATGAAAAATTTTAAGGGAATATTAAAATAAAAATATTCTAATAAAAAATAAAAAAAAATTACTTTAATAGAATATTTTATAAAAATTTATAAATATATATATATAAATATATATATATATATATATATATGTTTTTATATTTTTATTTAATTATTATAAAAACAAAAATGTTTAGCATAAATATAAAATCAAATAAAAATAATAAAAAAATAAATTCACAAGAATCTAAATATTTAAATGATTAAAAATTTAAATAATAAAAGAAATGTAAGTATTTCTTTAATTAAGGTTTTTGTAAATATGGTAATGATTGTATTTTTACTCATGAAATTTATTCTTCTCATATAAATTCTAAATAAAAAAATTAATAAAAAATAATTTAAAAATTAGATAACATTTCAGAATTAATTTTTTTTTAAAAAGTTCTATTATTAATTATAAATAATACAATTTTTAAAGTCATATTTTCAAATATGTTGAAGAAGAAATCTAAAAAACTAATATTTTTAGTGAAAAAGAATTAAAATAATTAAATATAACACTAGAAATACCAGAGATAGGAAATAAAAATAATTTCAATATGATTTTTGTGAGAAACGCTTTATCAGAAATTAATTATATTTAAGAAAAAATCAAATAAAAATATGAAGATGTTGATATTTTCAATCATTTTATGTATAAATTTTTTGAAAAAAACAGTTTAAATTTAGATAGTCCATTACATATCTTTGGAATTAAATAATGTCAAAATTAATAGATGAAAAACAATAAAATTAATTATTCTTTTGTGTTTGTTTCTCCTTTAAGAAGATGTATTTAGACTTGTATTGAATTATTTAAAAGTCATCCTAATAAAGAAAATATAATTTTTTTGTTTACCAATATATAGCTGAGCAAATAAAAAATGATTCTGATGTATTCCTTAAAGAAGAATTTGAAAAATTAATAGAATTTTCAGAAAAATATTATAAAATTAAATTTGATGTTGAAACTTTTTATAATGAAAATTGGCAATAGAAGATTTTTTATGAAAATTATAAAATCTAGTTTCCATTTGGAAAATAAGAAGAAGTTTTTTAAAAAATAAACGGTGAAATTTTTCCTTTTTCTTTTGAAAAATATGAGCTATTTTTATTAAGAATTAAAATGGCGTATGAATAAATAAAATATTTTAAAAGAAATAATAGTTAAATTTTAGGGATATTTACTCATTTTTAAGTTATTAAAATATTTCTTGGTATTATTAATTACAAAATTCAAGATTTTAAAAATTTAGGTTATTTTTATTATAAGAATAATTGAATTAATAATAAAAAAATAAATTAAATTTAATAAAAATATATAATATTTTATTTTTTAATTTAAAATATAATTTATCAATAATATTTCAATTTATAATTATTAAATTTTTATTAAAAAATAATATTAATAAAAAAAACTGAATATAATTAAAAATATAAAACATTAAAAAAAAAAAAAAAAAAATCTATAATTTTAATAAAAAAAAAAAAAAAAACTAAATATAATTAAAAAAATAAATAAAAAAAAATTAAAAATCATAATTATAATAAAACAAAAAAAATGATATAATAAAATTACAGCAAAACAAATAATATATAAATAGAAAATTTATTAAATGAAGCAATTGAAGAAAATGAGATTGTAAAAAAATAAAAATTATTAAATACTTAAATAAAATAATTTGATAAAAAAATAAAAACAACAAAAAAAGCTTAGAAATAGAGTAACCGAACTTGAAGCATTATTAGTTGCAGCCTAAGAAGAAATCGAAAAAAGAGATAATGCAATAAAGGAAATACTTTAAAATTCAAGTATAAGTTAAGTTAGTATGAATTAAAGTGATTAATTTGATAGTTAATAAACATAAAGTAATGAAAAAGAAGCATAAATAAATAATTAAGAAAATTTTCAAATTTAAAATAATGAAGAGGAAAAAAGTATACAAAAATAAAAGCATATAATTTAATTTAATTATAATATAAATATATATAATTATTTTAAAATAAAAAATATTTTTTAAATAAAAATATAAAAAAGATCTCCTTAACTTTTTTAATATTAATAAAAGGATTAAGAAACATAAAAAATGAAAAAGATTTTTTTTTAATTTATTTTATTGAATAAAGAGTTTTTTTAAAAATATATATATATAAATATATATATATATATAAATCTTATATATAATCTATTTAAATAGTATTAATATAAAATATTTTTTTAATGTATATACATCTTTTAATATTATATATATATATAAAAAATATATAAAATTTAATGGTTTATTTTTAATTATTTTAATATAAATTGAACATGATTTTTATATTTTTTCTTAACTTTTTTTTATTTTTTAAAAAATGACTCAGATTTTTATAATAATTAAATTAATAATTTCATTATAATTTATATATTAATTTTTCCTAATAAAAAAAAATAAATATTTTGAATAAGATATACATTTATTATTTAATAATATTATTGTCTAATAACAAAAATAAAGGCAAATAAAATCAATAAAAAATTAAATACACAAAAATAAATCAAAATCCCCGAAATAAAAATATGGACGAGGAAAATTTATATGATGAGTTCGGTAATTATATCGGACCAGAAATAGACGAAAACGTAAAAAAAAAAACCTTATATACATATATACATATATATATATATATATATATATATATATATATATATATATATTTATATATATATATATATACATAAATATAATAAAGTACGAAAATATAATCGAATAAGAAGAAGATGAAGATTTTGATTAATTAAACAATATAAACGCAAAAATATAAGAAGAAGAAATACAAAAAAGGCACCAAAATTAAGATCGAATAGTAGCCTTACATGAAAATAAATAATACTATCCTGAAATGCATGAAATATACCCTGAAGCTGAAAATTTAGTCCACGAAGAAGATATATAAAAGATCGAAGAGCCTATTTTTGGCTCCTGTAACGACTAAAGAATTCGATTTGTGTGAAAATGAAATATATGAAACTACTTTTTCAACTTAGTATATGTGCAACCTTATGATGAATACTGAACTAATCAGAAACGTGGCTATTGTAGGCCATTTACATCACGGAAAAACTGGTTTAATGGACATATTCGCGAAATAGACTCACCCAAACAGATTCCTTGACCTAAATAGGGATTACAAATATACAGATGCTCGGAAAGATGAATAAGAGAGACTAATAAGTATAAAAAGTATGCCTATGAGTCTCGTATTACCAGATTTAAGGGAGAAAAATTATCTTTTGAACATTTTAGATACCCCTGGACATCCAAATTTTTCAGATGAAGTCTGCTGTGCATTAAGAATGTGCGACGGAATTGTTTTAGTAGTAGATGCAGTCGAAGGAGTCATGTTAGGAACTGAAAGAATAATTAAATATTGTGTGAAAGAAAGAATCTACATTACAGTACTTATTAATAAAATAGACAGACTTATAATGGAAATTAAATTACCACCAGCAGATGCTTACCTTAAAATTAAGCATACATTAGAAGAAATTAATTAAATTATAGCATCAGCAGCAATCGGTAGAGATGATAAAGATAATTTAAGAGTATGAATATATTTAATAATACATATATATATATATATATATTATTAGATCTCACCTTTATTAGGAAATGTGTGTTTTGGAAGTACTAAATATGGTTTTGTTTTTAGTATCTAATCTTATGCGGAAATGTATGGAAAAACATATGGCATAAAGAAAGATATTTTTTAAAAATTACTTTGGGGAAATTATTATTATAATCATTAAACGAGAAAATTTATGAATAAACCTTTGAAAGAATTTAATAAGAGAGTTTTTGTCGAATTTATATTAGAACCTATATATAAAATTGTATCTCATGTAGTTTCTAAAGAAAAAGATGGTTTAAAACCTATTTTATCTAAATTAGGTATTTTTTTAAAAAACTAAGATTATAAAATGGATATAAATCCTTTACTTAAACTTGTTTTTACTAAATTTTTCGGAAATACAGGGTAAATATATATATTTAAATTATATATATATATATATATATATATAAAGTTCTATAGTAAGTATGATAGTATAATATATACCGAGTGCCAAAGAAGGTACAAAAGAAAAAGTAGAATAAAATTATATAGGAAATAATAATAGTGAAATATGTAAAAAATAAAAGAATGTGATCCTAAAGGTCCTCTAGTAATAAATGTAGTAAAACAATATAATAAGTAAGACTGTATGTCTTTCGATGTATTAGGTCGTATAATTTCAGGTACATTATAAAAAGGATAAACTGTAAAAGTTTTAGGTGAAAGATATAATCTTGAAGACGAAGAAGATATGACTATAAAAGAAGTGCGTAAATTATACATTTTATAAGCCAGATATAAAATTGAGTTGAATAAAATAAGTGCAGGAAATTGGGTTTTGATAGAAGGCATAGACTAATCGATATAAAAATCCGCTACCATAGTAAATTCTGAGAAAGATAAAATCGAAATCTTCAAACCAATTAAACATAATACTACTCCAGTAATAAAAGTAGCCATAGAACCTTTAATACCTTCAGAACTTCCCAAAATGTTAGAAGGCTTAAGAAAAGTATCTAAATCTTATCCTTTATTAATCACTAGAGTAGAGGAATCTGGAGAACATATACTAATAGGAACCGGTGAATTATATATGGACTGTGTACTACATGACCTCAGAAGAATGTATTCAGATATCGAAATCAAAGTTTCAGATCCTTGTGTAAGTTTCTGTGAGACCATAGTGGATACTTCTGGTATTAAATGTTACGCAGACACCCCAAACAAAAAAAACAGGCTTACAATGGTCGCTTCACCTTTAGATAGAGGCTTGTCTGAGGATATTTAAAAAGAATTAATAACATTAGATATGGACAAAAAATTAATAAGTAAATTCTTCCAAGAGAAATATGACTGGGATATTCTCGCAGCACGAAATGTGTGGTCTTTTGGTCCCGAAAAATAAGGCGCTAATATACTTATAGATGATACTCTACCAAATGAAGTAGATAAAAATCTACTTTGGGAATGTAAAGAAAGCATAAAATAAGGTTTCTAATGGGCAACTAGAGAAGGTCCATTATGCGATGAACCAGTACGTAATGTTAAATTTAAATTAATAGAATGTAGTGTTGCGAATGATAAAATATATAGAGGAGGAGGTTAATTAATACCAACAGCAAGAAGGACTTGCTATAGTGCCTTTTTAATGGCTTAACCTAGATTAATGGAACCTCTTTTACATATAGAAATTTAATGTACAGCAGATGCAGTGGATGCTTGTTTGAATGTACTTATTAAAAGAAGAGGACATATTATTTAATAAGTTGCAAAAGCGGGAAGTCCTTTATATACTTTAAAGGCTGTTTTACCGGCTATTGATTCTTTTGGATTTGAAACTGATTTAAGAATTCATACAAGCGGTTAGGCTTTCTGTTTAAGTGTTTTTGATTCGTGGGAATTATTACCAGGAGATCCACTTGATAAAAATATTAAAGTAAAAATTCTAGAACCATCGTAACCATAAGAATTAGCAAGAGAATGTATGGTTAAAACTAGGTACAATTATTTATTTATATATATATAATTAATTAAAAATTAATTTTAATAGACGAAGAAAAGGATTAAATGAAAATGTTTCTATTGTAAAATTCTTTGATGATTAAGATCTTTTGGAAATATTAAAATAAGATAAGGATTATAAAGATTATATTTGAATATATTTTTTAGAATTAATAAATTTATTGTTTTTATTTATTATGTATTTATTTAAAAAATTATATATTTTTTTAAAATAAATAAAATTTTAAAAATTTTATTAAAATATAAATATAAAAAATATATATAAATTAATATATATATAAATATATATATAAATAAAAATATATATATTTATATATATATATATATAATATATATATATAAAGATTCATTTTTTATAATAAATTAACTTTTTTTTATATTTGTATCATGAATCTTATTTTTATAAAATTATATTTGAAACATTTTAATATATTTAAAATATATAATTATCTTTTTTTATTATATGATTAAAATCTTTTTTAATTTTTTGTATATTATTTTCTTTATTTTATTTTTATTAAGTTTTAACCAAAACCTCAGTTTTTTTGTTACTTTATATTATTTAATTAGAATTATAAATTTTTCCAATTTCATCTGAAATTTCAATTTTATTTTCAATTTTTTTTAATTTAATATTTTTCTTTTATAACTTATTTTTATGAAATTTTAAATCTTTATCAATTTATATTTTATTTTTGGCTTATATCTTTACTAAATCTTATTTTTGTTTTTCATTATTTATACACATATCTTATATACTTATTGTTTATATTTCTTTTGATATTTTTTATATTGAATCGTTTTTTCTTTTTTATAATTCAAGTTGACAGTATATTTGCTGATTTTTTTATAATAATTCATCAAGTTTTTTCTCTTTTTCTTTTAATTTTATTATTAATTATTTCGTTATTCTATATTGTCTAGTAAATAAACATCCCATTAAATATATATTTTTTATAGTATAAATCAACTTTATATTATTAATAATGTTTTTTTTTTATAATTTAAAAATAAAAATTATATATATATATATAAATTATTTTTAAAAAATAAATTAAAATATTTACAAAAAAAACAAAATAAAGATTTTTATTATCAATTGTTTGTTTATATAAAAAATTAATTAATATCTTTATTAAAAATAAAAAATAAGAATAATCTCACTATATAATATAAAAAAAAAATTATCTGTAAATTTCATATCTCCAAACTTTAAAAATAAATGAGTTTAAGAGATTTTAGATTAAATAAAATAGACCTAAAAACATTATTATATTGTTTTTTAGAGTCGAAAATTTAATTTATAGTTCAAAAAGGCATAATAAATGTCATAATATATACTAATATAATACAGTAATAACAAAATTATAATATCTTATTTAAATTATAATTATTTTTTGTTATAAAATTTAATTATTTTTCCTTTTTTTATTGATTGTGTTTTTGAAAAAAAAATATGATAAATAAATATTATAAAATCTACAATAAATAAAAATTAATCAACTAAAACTAAAAAAAAAGGCACAGGAAATAAATCTCAAGTATTAAATAATTAAATTTTAAAAGTCTATAGTAATATAATTTAATTATAGACTAGCTATTTATTTCATATAAGTAATTTAAAATATAAATAAAAAAAAATATAATTAAATAATAAGCATTTATAAAAAAACTGGAAAACAATTTTAACAAAAAATAAAAATAAAATAAAATATATTTCATCTAATTTATATTCTAAAAAAATTTTCGCTATGTAAAAAAAAAGTTATTACTTATATAATGCTTTAAAAATTAAATTAAAAAAACAAATGTTCAATAAAATAATAATTATTAAATAAACAATCAAATTTATAAGATTTTAGAAAGAATTTAAAAAATATAAAGAATTATTAAAAGAAAAATAAAAATTTTAAAAATAAAGCTAATTTATTCTATATTTTTATATATACTTTTTTATATATTTTTTATAAAATCAAATGCAATTTAAATAAAACATAATATATGTTTATTGATAAAAATTTAATTAATAAAAATATTAGTATTTTATATTATAGTTTAAAATTCACAAAAAAAAAAAAATTATTAATAAGATTAGGAAGACTTATAAAATTTAATAATAAGAAATAATATAATATTTTAAATAGATTAAAAATATAATATTTATAGATATATAGATAAATAAATATTGACTTATATATATAAATACAATATATATATATATATATAAATATATATATATTTATATAATATAATCTATTTTTTTTTAAAAAAATATTATTTTTTATTTAAAAAAAAAACAATAAATAATTATTATTTAAAAATAAATAAAAAATGTTTTATTAACCTTAACCTGTTCAAGTAATAGTAAGAAACAATATAACAAAATAATTCTAAGAAACAATAGGGTTATTGTACTAAACTAAAATAGTAAAAACTAAATATATATATAAAAATTAATATATATTTATATATATATATATATATATATATATATATATTTAAATAATAGGATAATTTTAATTACTATACTGCCTTAATAGAAAGTGAAAATCTTTAAAATTCATAAATTTTAAACTATTAAGAAATTTAAAATATTCCTTAAAACGATTATGAATTTATAAAAAAATAATAAATAAACCTCAAGTAAAAAGCAGAATCAATAGCTGAGAGAATAATTTAAGAAATCCTCAATATATAAAAATAACCATTAAAAATTAATAATTTTCAATAATAAAATGAATCTCCGTAAAAATTAGTAGATCAAAATAATAATTGTTTATAAAGCTAAATATCTTTAAAAAATCAATAATATTAAAAAAAAAAAGAATTAATTTAATAAATAGACAGCTATATAGACTAAAATATAATGGAAGAATAAAGTATAATATTTTCAACAAAAACTCAAATAAATGATTCTATTTCAAAAGCAGTTAGAGGATCACCTTAATTGAAAGCTATAAGAAATATAAATAAAATAAGAAAATCAATTTCTCCTTAAAAATAATCTAATGAATAATAATTCAATTTTACAGAAAATTAAGAAGATTAGTTAGATATAAAAAGTATGGTAAAATAAGCTATTTTGAATTAAGTAGAAGGAAACTAAATTTAAAATATTATGAATAATAATAATATTGAAAAAAATAATATATAAAAATTCTAAAGTCATTAAATTTAACCGAGCATAGATAGTGAAAACATAATATTTACAAAATCAAAAAGTGAAAATGGATAATATAATAATTTTAATTTCTAAGGTAATAATAAAAAGAAACCATTAAATAATTTAAAAATAAGCCTAGCGAAAAGAAATGTAGAAAGAAATAAACTAAAATAAGCTTAATCTTCTTAATTAGAAAATAATAATAATAATAATAATAATAATAATAATAATAATAATAATATAATAATAATAATAATTATTTGATGATTTAATAATAATAATTCAAATTTTATTAGTAATAATGTAACAAATAATAAAATTGAAAATTAAGGAAATTATAAGATTTATTAATTCTAGTAAATTAAATGTTATAATAGTCACTTAATATTAATAATAT